ACAACAATCTTTCACAAAATTGGTCTCAACAGTATTTGTACTTTTGTGACTGATCAACATCACTCAGCACTGTGTCCTCCAGGTTTATACATGTTGTGGGGTGCTTCACAGATTTGTTGTTACTCTTCAAAGTTGTGTAGTTTTTCCATCGCGTGTATGCACCAAAGTTTGTTTAACCATTCTTCTGTTGATGGGCATTTAGGCTTTCTCCATTTTTTTGATGTGTCTCTTGTAGACCACACATTGAAGGATCCTGTTTTCTTACCCATTCCGCTGTCTCTTGACTTATGCATTTAATCCAGTTACATTCAGTGTAGTTATCCATAGGTATTCATTGATTGTTGTCCATTTTGCTACGTATTTTATTTTGTGGTGATGCTGGTTTCCTTGTTCTATATAATTTTCTGCACTGAGTTCATTTTGTTTGTGGGTTTTCTTTTCATTTCTGTTGTATAAATGTTTACTAAATCTTTCTGATTTTTCTCATTTTTCATTTTGATGTGCAGGCATATAACTTTCAAGGTAAATTACAGGGTACCCTTTATTAAAATTTTCCTTATTTAAAATTTTCTGTTTATCTTGAAATCTACTTGTCATTTGAATGTTCTGTGTCTACACAATTCCTTCTTTTTGCTTTGTAGTTGACTTCATTATAAATTGATATATGTGGTTCCCTATTTCCAGTCTTGTAGGTTTCTTTACTTTAAATACTTCTGTATCTGGATTGAGTTCTGGGTGGTGTTGTCATGAATGGTAATCTAAGGTTGCTGTCTGTTGTTGGTTCTCAGTTCAAAGAACGTCCTTTAGAATTTTTTGTAAAGTTGTCTGATCATTCCAAATTTCTTTATACTTATCAGGAAATATCCCAGTTTCATTCTCATACTTGAGGGAGAGCTTTGCTAAGTATGATTCTTGTTGGCAATTTTTTTCTTTCAGAGTTTTGTATATGTCATTCCACTGCCTTCTTGCATGCATGGTTTGTGCTGAGCAATCAGAGCTTAGTCTTACTGGTTCTTGTTTATATGTAATTCGGTTTTCCTGACCTTACCTTTGGTATTGAAAAGTTGATTATGATATGTCATGGTGATTTTGAGGATGTATTCTATTTGGGGTTTGTTCAACTTCTTGTATGCTTATTTTCTCATTTTTCACGATTTTAGGGATGTTTTCTTCCAACAAGTGCTCGGGAATTTTCTCTGCATTTTATTGTTTCTTCCTGTTCTAGAATTCCAATCACCCATAAGTTTAACCTCTTTATGGTGTCCCCCATAACTCTTAGGCTTTCTTTGGATTTTTTCATTCTTTTTTCTGATTGGTCTTCTAGCATACTATGATTGAGAGGTTATTCTTCAAGCTAGTTTGGGATTCCATTGCTTCAAATCTATTCCTTTGCCCTTTTAATGTATTGTCCATTTCTGATGTCTTTGAGTTGATGTTCTGGATTTCTAATGGCAGGTTTTGTATTGTTTCAAAATTTGCATTTATTTTTATCTGTTTGTTCTTGTAGTGTTTTCCTGAATTCTTCTAAAGTTTTTTTCTGTGTTCTCCTTGCTTTCCTCAATCTTTCTGTCAATCTTTTAAAGGTACCTAAATGTCATTCTTTTGAATTAATTTTCAGTTAGTTCCATTACCTTTTCTTCCTCAGAAACGTTTTCTGGCTCTGCATCTTGGTCATTTGTTTGAGCCATTGTCTCGTCTTTGTGTAAGCTAAAATTGTCTGTTGTCTCTGGGGCACTGTGGGGTTGTCCTATTTGGAGCTCTGGTAGTGTAGTGGTTCAAAACTACCAGCTGTTCTGCGGGAGAAAGATGAGGCTTTCTGCTCCCATAAATATTGTACAAGTTTGCTATGAGTTGGAACCAACTCCACAGCACATAACAACATACACTGATTTGGTCTTAGATACTCACCAACTGTCTCCTGTGGGTGTAGTTAGAGGACGGAAGCATGTATACCGTTCTCTGCTCACCTTTTGTGCACACCTCAGTTTAGGGGGGTTTTGACTGGTGTTGGCTGATGTCTATCATTTATCAGGTAGTATAGGCTTTCTGCTCCCGTAAAGATTTACAGCCTCGGAAACCCTGTACAGGATCGCTATGAGTCGGAACCGACTCCACGGCACAAAACAACAATAACATAGGAGCTGGTATTGGCTCTTGCTCAAGGGGTGGAGCTACAGAAGGTACAGTTGTGACTGGGTTGTATGGGTACGACTGCTGTACCCATACAAAAAAAGTTTCTATATTTTAAATTTTCAGAAAAAAGTTTGAGGAGGAAAGTAAAGTTCTCCTTGTCCTTTGCCCCTTGTAACACTCCCTAGGAGTCCTTAGAGCCAATTCATGTTGTCATATTTCTCATGGATTTTTTCAAAGACACACTCTACACATTTAAACATAAATATATACAGTATACTATTTATGCTGTTATACACTTTTGTTTCCCATTTAATTTATCTTAGGGATTATACCATATTTTCTAACAAGCTATTCAGTTTTTCACTATAAGGAAAGCAAAGTCCAGTGAAAAATAAGTACATGTTCTCAGAGTCTGCTTCCATGTGCATACTGAGTGCACTTAAACAGATAAAATTATAGTTCTGTAAACAATGAAGAAGACCCTTCTCTTATTAAGTATGTCCCAACTCCTTCTGGGCCAGTTACCTCTAACTTACAGGATGACAACTCTAAGGCATTTGAAAATCTGATCATACCCACTTAGTGGGAAAATGTACAAAAATACATCAATTCAATTTGATTTGTCTTTAAATAGATTCCCCTAGCTATTTGTTTAGAGACTACTTTTAATTCAGATTACCTTTAATATTATGATATAAAAGCTACTATTCAAATTTTTATCATGATTATCACCTGTACTTTCATAGTTTGCCAATGCTCCTTCACTGGGACTGGTTCGTTTAATAGCATTTCTGTATTTGTCCAGAATATCCTCAGCAACTTGAGCATGTGCAATGAGTCTAGGGCTGGGGTCATCTGCAAGGGAAAGGAGAGTATGAGAATTAGTTCCCTTTGGTTTGTACCAAGGCTGATGTTAGTACGACACCAGAAGCACAATCCCAAGGGCGGATTAGGAGGTAAAACTTAAAAAAGAGCACATATCTCAATGTTAAGAGGCACCATGCAGCTGCCTACTCATTCCATTTCTAGGTCTTAGAGCGCCTTGCCAAAGCAGGAGACTAGAGGAGTGGCCCCACTTTCTCATCATCATCAGAATTCTGCATGACAGTGTCAAAGTTCAGTATAGACTGACTGGATGACGGGTTTGAAAAGTGCTTACACTCAGATCACAATTGTTAGCAATTCATGCTAACAGAACTTTCAACAATGCATCTTTATATGCAGAGTCCACTTATTCAGACATCCCCAAGCTGAAGGAGGAAAAAATACAGGTAAAGGATTCAAGTTTAGAATTAAGCCCTTTTTTATAATAATTTTTATTTCTTACACCATTCTCCTTTTGTGCATTTCTCTTTATCCCATTTGAAAACTAGAGATACTGTCTCACTAAATCTAACCAGGACAATGCAACTAAAGGAAGAGATTACTTCTGCACTACAAGGGTATCAGGGCACTCCCAGATAAGCTACACATTCTTGGGGAGTGCTGGACTTGTAGCTGGGTAGAAGCTTCTCATGATCACAGATGCAGCATGGTTCACTGACAGGAGATACATATATATATATATATATACCTGGCCAACAAAATTAGCACATCCAAACTGTTTCCCAGAAGACACTGGTAGAGCTGTTAATTAACTGGGCTGTCAAAGCAAAGAATTACTAGTGATCTCTGGGACAAAATAAAGTTCCAGAGTTAAACATACTCTAGGGACAGATCTAGGCCAAGCAGGTAACAGGTAACCATACAGTTCACATTCTGATAGAATCCTATTTTTAAGAAATTCTAGAGGAATCAGAATCACAAGATTGTGTGTGTGTAAGAAATTTAAGCTGCTCCCCGGAAACCCTATACAGGGCGCTATGCGTCGGAATCAACTCGATGGCACTTCACAACAACATTATTAATAGCAGGCAATATTGAGCACTTACCAAGTGCCAGGAATTGTGCTAAGCACCTCTTGTAACTACTTCAATCATCACAACAACCCTTCAGAGAGGTACTATTAGTACTTCCATTTTGTAGCAGAGGAAATGAAGACATACAGAGGTTAAGTAGTATATCCACAAGCTCTTCTTTTGTTTCCATGAAACAAACATTAGATATTCGTGTCTTGTAAAGTAGCAGAGAAAGGGGATTCTCAAAGTAACACAACCTTTTTGCTATAATGGCATTTGAATGCATGCTTCTCCTATTTGATCTTTTTCAAAATGTAAAGTAATAAAGCCTTTATCATTAGTCTTTTTTTGGTGAGAAGTACTTTTTGGCTATTAGTTTCAAGTACTGGTGAAGACTCTAAAACAAGGGCAGTATATTTTAGCCAAACATAGTGAAAGCCATATTGCTTGTGCCCATTATTTCTATAACACAACAACATCCTAGTAAATGTTATCCTCGGGAAATAATTAAAACAAACAAACAAAAAAACACTATATATACTAAGCTGTGTGCAGTATTTTCACAGTCAAAAATTGCAAGTAATTTAAATATCGAAATACTCATGAGAATGTTGACGTTGAAGTAAAATCATATGATGGATTATTTCACAGCCAATAAAAATGATTAACAAATCAGATGTGTCTAATAGAAACAGAGAGAGGGGTTTATGAATAATGTGATAAAAGAAATAGTGTTTTATAAACTCTGATTCAAACACACATCAAAAGAAAGCATGGACAGATAGAGGAAGAGGTTGACAGAGAATGTGAAAAATAATTAAGGTAACAAGATTATAGACGGACTGGTAAAAAAAAATTTTCCTTTCATAATATTTAAAAATTGACTTAATCATTTTTAATAGGTCATTACTTAGGTCTAAATAGCAATTTATGCACCAACAAGAACTGTAAACTGCTTAAATCATTAACTGAGAAGTTGAATTATTTTATGAAAAAAAAATGTACAGTTTTCTAGTTCTGGAATCCTGGTATAGCACTGCAGGATAAGCACTGGACTGCTAAAGACAAGGTTTGTATTTGAATCCCACCAACCGTTTCTCAGAAACCCGATACAGGGTCGCTATGAATCAGAACCAACTCAATGGCACTAACATCCACATGATGGCACTAACATCTACATCTCTGGTGGCATTGTAAGTTATGTATTGAGCTGCTAACCAAAATAAGAAATATAAGGCTTTATGCTCCTGTCAAGATTTATAGCCTTGGAAACCCTTTATAGGATCGCGATAAGTCGGAAAGACTAAGGCACACAACAACATTTAGCTTTTAGTCTCAGCACCAAAAATCATGTATTATATACAAAGACACAAGTAAAAAATAATTCAAACTGTTGCTGTTGTTAAGAGCTGTCAAGGAGGCTCTGACTCATTGCAACCTTACACACAATAGAACAAAACACTGCCAAATCCTGTGCCACCCTCACAACTGTTACGCTGGAGCCAGTTGCAACTGCCATTGTGCCAATTCATCTAATTGGCACAGTGGTAGCAAAGAGGGGGGTCTTCCTCTTTTTTACTGACCCTCTACCTTCTCTAGGGAGTAGTCCCTCCTGATAAAGTCTGAGAGACAAAATCTCACCATCCTGGCTTCTAAGAACATTCTAGCTGTACTTCTTTCAAGACCGATTTTGTTTGTTCTTCTGGCCGTCCTTGGTACTTTCAATATTCTTCTCCAACACCATAATTTACTGTATCAATTCTTCTGGGGTCTTCCTTATTCATTGTACAAGCACATTCACATGCATATGAGGCGAATGAAAATACCATGGCTTGGGTCAGGCATAACTTAGTCTTCAAACTGACATCTTTGCTTTTGAACACTTTAAAGAGGTCTTTTACAGCAGATTTGCCCAATATAGTAATATGTTGCTTGATTTCTTGACTGCTGCTTCTGTGAGTGTTGTTTGTGGATTCAAGCAAAATGAAGTCATTGACAAATACAATCTTTTTTCCATCTATCACAATGGTGTTTTTTTTTTTTTTTAATGTTTTATTGTGAATTATGTTATAGTTTACATGGGAGAACATTAGTTTTACATTCATCCTATTTTATATCGTTTCATTGCCATGGTTACAATCCCTACTATGCATCATCAACCAACCAAAGGGTTGTGAGCACACAGTCCCTCTCTGTCTCTGGGTCCAAAGTCCCCAGCTGCTCCACCTCTCCACGTCATTATCTCTGCCTCCGTTTCTGGCATCATTGCTTCTCTAGGTAGGGTCCCACTCTCCGCTCTTCTCCCGTGATGGTCCCAAGGGACCTCTCCTCCTAGAATGCAAAGTTAATCACTCCCCTCCTTTCTACAAAATGTCTGCCTTCACATTTCCAACCCTCACAATCACTCCTGATAACAATTATTCACTATTGTATCACAAGAGACCTACCTGCATTTCCTTTCAGCCCCACCTAGACAGACTGGATACTACTCAGTGGATATTCTACCTTCCTCCATGCCCCTCTGGATCTAGGTTCCATCTTGAAAGCTTATAAGCCAGTCACTTATATTGCCTTTGTAGACCCCCTACTTTGGGTAGTCAATGTCTAAGTTGCTCATCCCTGTCTACTCTATGTATGGAGGGTGGGAATGATCCTTGCTGTAAAGATTTGTTGCCTCTTTTGAGCTACTGCATCCATAGGTATAGGTCAAGTTCATCATACTGTATCAGATTACTCTTTTTTTCCCCTTCTTTCTTCTTCTGGTTGAGCTCTGATCATGCAGTCATTGAAGCCAGGTCAAGTGAGTAGCATCTACAAGTGTAGGTGTTCTTGTGCATATGCCCTCTCTTCTTATCAGCTGGATGCTTCACTCTCCACTCTGGTCCTCTGTGGCTATGTCACTGACTCTGGGTCCAGGAGTCCCAGGTCTTGTCACACTGCTGGCCAACCAGGTCTCCACCTGGGTTCACAGGAGTCTATTGAACATTGTAGGGCTTAGCTCGCAGCTTCACTGCTGTTTTCCCCTCACTTCCCCTTATTGGTGACGAACGTGGTCACCAATTAGAGCGTGTATTCCCACTGAGTCTTAGTCTCGGAAAGGGGTTTGCTCTGAGGGGACCCGACCACTTGCTTTGATGTCTCCTGGGTGAGCAACTTGCTTGTTCTTGTAGCAATCAGTTGGTCTATCTATATCGTTTTGTATTTTTCCTGTAGGTCTTTCTTTCAAGAAGTATCTTCTGTTCTTCCAGGCGTTCCAGGATGGTCTGCTTGTCCTTTCAAGTGGAAATTTCCCACCTCTGAAGATTCTGGATGCTGCTCAGGATTCCACCTATAGTCTTAAGCAATGCAAAGGCTCTGCAGGAAGCCTCCTTCACTGGGCACGTTGTAGCCCCATTTTAGGTATTCCAATCAGTTATAAGCAGAAGACGGACTTACAAGCTTTCTATGGTGATGTTTCTGGCTATTCCTTTCTCTACCCGTCCAGTGTCTATTTTATAATGGTATGCAAGGGAAATCAAGATTTAAA